TCTCTAATCTCTCTCTGTCCCTTCTTACCCTTATTTATCAAGTCATGTGCAGCGGGGAAAGTGGGACACTGTCTCAGATTTCCACAGCATCATTTAACTCAGTAAAACCAAGTGTGCCTTCCAGTTTCTGAAACCTTATATTTTACACTATACTTAAAAGATAGCTAGCTGACAAGAACAATTTAAAAATAGCAGCTCATGGGCAGGTGACAAAATGTCCCACTAGCAGCACAAGACTATATTAACAAAAATCACCAGATGTCACACACTTGATTCTGTTTTCACAGCTGATTAAACAGCAGTATTTGATGGATAAAAGGAAGAAAAATAGCCTTACCTGAATTTGGAATCAGTTTTTCATTTGCTATTATATATTTTCTCTCTCTTCCAGAATCACTTAGTAACTATAAAACTTAAGACACAATATCTTAAATAATCATTCCAGTTAGAGTAAAGAAACCTTTACACATACATATTCCCTAAATTGAAAGACTAAATCAAAATGTTAACTCTGTTTATCTTTGGTGATCTTCCTTTTCTTCATTTTCTTATACTGTTTAATTTTTCTCCAATGAAGATACATTGTATTTTATGGTGTGTAAACATTCATCTTTGAAGAAGTAAAGAAATCAGCTTAAAGAAGCCATACATTATTTTACTTTTAAAAAATTGCATTTAGTTAAGGAATTAGATTATATTAAGACAGTTTGTCCTACAGGTCTGGTATTGACCTAGCATTTCTGTAAAATTTTGTTGATACCTTTCATTCTGAGATCCATTGATGTCAAAGTAGCAAACAGAGAAAATACCAGGAAAAATAAAATTTTCTGCTTTTTTAGCAAATTGTGCTACCTTTAGTTTGTAAAATACTGCCTAATGTTTGCTACATTTTTTTAAAGTTTATTTATTTGAGAGGCAGAGTTAGAGAGAGAAGGAGAGACAGAGATCTTCCATCTACTGGTTTACTTTCCACATGGCTGCAACAACCGGGGCTTGGCCAGGCCAAATTCAGGAGTCAGGAACTTCCCCTGGGTCTTCCACATGGGTGCAAGGGCCCAAGGACTTCTGCCATCTTTGCTGCTTTCCCAGGCATATTAGCAGAGAGCTGGATCAGAAGTGGAGCAGCTGGGACTTGAACCGTCACTCATAGAGGATGCTGGCACTGCAGGCTACAACTTTTAACACACTGAGCCACAGCGCTGGCCCCTTCCTGCATGTTAAGGAAGATTTGTGTTGAGGTTATCAGCATAGAATAGACAATAATAATTAGAAAATGACCAAGCTCCCTTTCAGTTCTATCTTTCTAAGTGGGAAAGTTCTAACAGCTCATGAAAAGGGTCTACAAAGATCTGTGTATATATGTTCAGCTTTTGGAGGATAAAAGTCACCCCTTAAGTTTGGGAAGATAAGTGGTTCCAAAACATACAAAGACTATTATTTGATGTGGTGGTTTTAAACCATATAATTCTTTACCATAAATGATAGACATAGGAAATTTAAAAAGTCAAATGAGGTTCAGCTAATTTTGGGCTGACCTGATTTTTTTGGTAACCCTTTATTACTCTAGAAATACGTAGGGAACATTACCTGCTTATTAGGAACCATACCCTTCTCTGAGTATTCCTTGGTTTAAGATTTAATGGACTCTTTTTATGTGAATCTGAATTTTCCAGAATATGATGAAAACTAATTTAGGGTAAATCACATACAGTTTTCATAGATGCTAGTATGTGGTGATAATGAATTCAGGTAAGATCTTGCTATCTGAAAACAGTGAAACAGAGAACATTGATAAAGCTAATTGAAACCAAAATGAATGTAAATCCTCCATACTGAGTCAAAGCCTTGTTCTGGTGACAAATGTTCCTAAAATAGATTCTGATCAAGGTGGTGCCAGGAGTTAGCAGCCAATGCATATGTGGTGTAGATTGTAGTTTCCAGGGGACTCTTAAATGACTTAGAAACTAGAAAAACTAAGGCACATAGAACAGCTACATATGAAGATCAATTAAATTTGTCTTTTAACAAGTTAGTTTTTGACACCAACAGTTATTAGCTTCCAGTTGACATGAAAAATATTTGAAACCTACAAAAAATAAAGTAGGCAATTCTAGTATTCAGATGATGATTCTCTGACAATATGATGGTTTTTCTACAGAAAGCATTATAATATATTCTGTAAAAGAATTACTGTAGGGAACAGCATTGTGGCATAGATGGTAAACCCATTGCCTGGGATGCTGGCATCCTAGGCGGGTACAAGTTCAAGTCCTGGTTGCTCTACTTCCAGTCCATCTGCCTGCTGTTGTGCCTGGGAAAGCAGTAGAAGATGCCCAAGTGCTTGTCCCTTCTACCTACGTGGGAGACCTGGAAGAGACTAGAGAAATGCAGTATCTTTCTCCTAAAAAAAAAAAAATAATAAAAGCAAGGGGCTAGTGCTGTGGCATGTAGAAGGTTAAGCCTCTTCCTGAAGCACTAACATCCCATATGGGTGTCAGTTTGAATCTCGGCTGCTCTACTTCTGATCCAGCTTCCTGCTAATGTGGCTGGGAAAGCAGTGAAATATGGTCCAGGTGCTTGGGCCCTTGCACTCACATGGGAGACCTGGAGGAAGCCCCTGGCTCCTCCCTCTCCCCCTTCCTCTCCCTCTCCCCTTCTCTCTGTGTATCTCTGCATTTCAAATAAATAAATAAATATTTAAATAATTAAACCCAACATAAATTTTTTGAAAATCCTATAGTGCATCATGGTAAAATTAGAAGTTTCTTTAGAATCCATCAATTGCTGATGATTTTCCAGTTTTTAAATACACAATACACAGACGTGTACACACACATCAATACAAGTGACATTAAACTTTTGAGGGTTTTGGGTTTTTTCCCTGCCTGTTGATATAAAATGATCTTTCACAAATTATCATGACCTGAAGCTCTTTAGGATGGCCTTATCTAGGTAAAAATTGGATTTATCTAGGAATTCACGATTCCCCATTTTAATTTGAGGCAAATGCTGTTTTGTGCACTGTGATGCTCTCCTTTTGTACCAGAAGAGCTCAATGATGTTTTTTTCCTCCAGTCTCCCATACGAGAGTTTAATACCATGTTTGACCCTTTTGCAATGTAAAATAGTGTTTGTCATAAAAGTCAATCATCACTTTTACCTTATCTCCAGTTTTCTCTGTACCACTCTTCTCCAAAATAGTGTTGACTTTTATTTAAACAATGACAGTGAAATAAAATAAACATTTTCAAATCTTGCAGAGTTGAGTTTATAGAAACTAACTTTACACAAAATCATTCTTTCAATAACTATTTTGTTAAAGGAATTCATCAAATGTATACTAAGTCATTTTTTCTCATATAAGACTCTCTGTGTTTAATTTTTCTGCTGATAGACCCACCTCTTATCCCAAATAAATAATGCATGAAAAGATCTTACCAAACATTTGCATCTTCTACTTTTACTCCTGGGAGCCATCAAGGATCTGATTCTTATATGTCATCTTATATATTAGGGGTTGGCAAACTTTGTGAAGGGTTGAAGAATAAATATTTTAAGGGTGGGTATTTGTGCAGCATTTAACTTATTGCTTGGGATGCCTGCATATTTTCCCAAAATAGAGTATCTAGTTTGAGTTCCAGCTACTGTGCTTCTTATACAGTTTCCTGCTGGTGTGCACTGTTGAAAGCAGCAGATGATGATCAAGTACTTGGATTCCTGCCAGCCGAGTGAGAGATCCGGATTGAGTTCCAGGCTCCTGACTTTGTCCTAGCCCAGCTTCAGCTGTTGGAGGCATTTAAGGAGTGGATCAGTAAGATGGGAGATCTCACTCCATCTGTCTCTCCCTCTCTTTCAAATGAAATTTAAAAAGTAAATAAATAAAATAAATAAACATTTTAAAATAGTATGGGGAAATTTGAAGACCATTCTTTTTTTTTCTTAAAAGATTTTATTTATTTATTCGAAAGTCAGAGAGTTACACAGAGAGAAGAGAGGCAGAGAGAGAGAGAAAGAGGTCTTCCATTCCAATTGGTTGCAATGGCCAGAGCTGTGCCAATCTGAAGCCAGGAGCCAGGAGCTTCTTCTGGGTCTCCCACATGGGTACAGGGGCCCAAGGACTTGGGCCATCTTCTACTGCTTTCCCAGGCCATAGCAGAGAGCTGGATCATAAGAGAAGCAGCCTGGACTAGAACTGGTGCCCATATGGGATGCTGGCGCTTCAGGCCAGGGTGTTAATTCGCTGCCACAGTGCTGGCCCCCCCCCCTTTTTTTTTTTAAAGGAAACATGTAAGGATTTATGGGCCACATGGCCTGTGTTGCATATTAGTTTTTGTTTTGTATTGTTTTACAGCCTTTTAAACATGTAAAAATGATTCTTAGCTCAGAGATCTATAAAAACAAGAGCTGACTTGGATAGGCTAAGGTTTGCAACTCTTAATTATAGATGTAAGGATGAAGGTCTAGAGAATATCATTATGCCCAATGTCATATAACTAGTTAATGGTAGGGACGGCATGAGAACCCTAGATTTTTAAGTCAGTCATTTTCCCCCAACTGTAGATGTTATATAAATTTTACCGTCTTCTAGTTGCTACTTATAATTATGTTACATTTTTGAAGTTCCGTGAAACCTGTTTTTTTATTCTCTCATTTAAGTTTATATACTACTTCGATTTTTTTTTTTGGCTGTTTAATGCAGAGTTGGCATGTTTAAATCAGAATTTGGAAGATGTATTAAACTTTAGAATATTGTAATAGAAGCTTCTTTTTTTGTTTTGTTATATTTTATTTGTTGTTGAGACTTTGGCTTTGTTTTAAGACTTTTCATGTGTATGTTTTATGACTTGATTTAAGAATTGTTGTAACTGCTTTGGCCTTTGATAGTATTGTTATAGATTAATTTGTTTTAGCTTTTTGTAATGTTCTTATTTTTCAGTGTTTTTGAAATGATTACTGAAGTTTTTTCTTTGTGCTTAAAATAAAATAATTTTATTTTTTAGGACGTATGGGAATAAATTTCCATCATCCAGGAACAGATAATATTATGGCACTTAACAGTAAGTCTTCATGTGACATAGTCTATAAATTTAGCAATCAAGTTTGCAGTATGTGGTTTCTACTTTCTTCATTGTTCATTACATTTCAGCCTTCCATAAACTCGGTATAGAACATTATTCTATACCTGTGGTTCTCAAAATGTTGTCCCTGGACCAACAGCATCCATATCACTTGAGAACTTAATAAAAATGTAAACTCTCAGGCCCTACTGCAGACCTACTGAATCAGAAACTTTAAGGATGAGGTCCAGAGATCTACTAATAAACCTTATTGGTGATTCTATTGCAAGCCAAAGTTTGATAATTTCTGTTCTGTATCAGAAATCTGGCCCAGTGCCTGTTTTTATAAATAAAGTTTTATTGGAATATAGCCATAGACATTTTTTTCTGAGTTGCCTATGGCTCTTTTTGAGTCATAAAAGCAGAGCCTGCCAAAGGTAATTTCTTGATTGTTTGGCCTGTTGTAGAAAGTGTTTTCCAGTCCTTGCTGTGTACCACTGGGGTGGGGTGATGAAGAAATGAGGCAAAGTGAGAGAGGGAATGAGGTAGAGAATGTGAATGAATAAATCAATCTATTTTGCACATAACTCAGAATTTTCTCATTGTGGTTAATAGCTGACAGATGTTTTAAGCTGGACATTCTGGGATCTCCCATTTTGCATGGTAGTAGGTGTCAAGAGCTTTGCAGATTAGAAATAGTTTTGTTAGAATAATTGTTGAATCAAGTTCTGGATCATCAAAAATTACTAACCATAAGTCATTGTATTAATTACCACTGGAAAAAATACTTAGTTTGTATCAGCCCTACTTTCTAGTATACAGTGACCCAATAGCTTTGCAGAGCAGTCTCTAAATCGAAATTGCCTGTTGTCAGACTGACCTATAAAAGTCATTGAATCACACGGGATTTAAAATTTTTTCTTTATCGAATGAGATATTAGTAATCTCATGCTCCTAGATACACAAGCTGACTCTGGATTACACATGGAGATATACAGTGTGGGTCTAGATTTGTGCATGATACTATCCCTTTCCCTCTTGCTTAAGTAAGAGTGTTGAAATATCATTGGAATTCCTCAGGACAGTTATTAGATTGTCTCTAAAATATTTATTCCAAATTTCCTTGGTTCTGAAATGTAGCCTATTGTGCATTTTTTTTTTCTGGAGAGCTAGTATTCCCTTCTTTTGAGGGTCTTGGAGGGAAAATTCCAAAGTATCCACCTCTCATTTTCTTATTTCTAAAAGAAAGATCACTTTACATTTAGATTATGCTACTTGGTATTTTTTTCTGTAAAGTGAGAATTAATAAACATGCTTAACTTGCTGGGCTTCAGCATTGATTCATTATGATAAGACTCCAATTAGATGATGGGGTTTAGAATTGAAGGTAAAAGAATAGAACAGTAAAGTAGTATGTTTGTCTGAAAGAATGAGAGTATATCTGAGAAAATACCTAATTTGACATGATGAGAGCTCTGCTCTGTAAGAGGGAGAGGATATAATTTATGGATTTTTGTGTAAAAATGAAGCAAAAGAGTATCTCTCTGTTTAAAAGGTGTTGATTCTTTGATTTGCTTTTAATTCTCTGCTTTTGAAGAAGAGATTTCATTCATGTTCTTTCCACTTAGTGCATACTGCTTAATTTCTCCTTTTTAAAGTCTCAATTCCTTCATCTGTGAGAAGAGGACTGATTAGGTCATCTGAGTGATTGTGTACAGCATGAAGGTTCCGTGAATCTGCAGTTTCTTTAAAAGTACCAAACTAATCATTTCGCTGATATCTGTTATCAAATATTGACAAGTTACACATGGCTGCTACATGGTGACAGACATCAAAGTGCATCCAAATGGCTCTGTGGGTGCTGCCCAAAGTTAAAGAAATCTGTTGGCTCCTCACAATAAACCACAAAAACAACTAGAATTTGGCATTTGCATTACTTATCATCAGACATCTTTCAAAGTTGACTTCAACTTGAGATAACCAGAATAAAATTATCCTCCTTAGTAGGTATTGTGGGACCTGCAGGCTTCGACACATTGGCTGTGATAAAGCTTTTTTCCCTTTTGTGTCGTTGAGCCCCTTCATCTGGTGATTTACGTATGTAGCACATGCACAAAGACTCCTGTGTGTTGTCTTGCTTTTTATGCCTACCATTTGCTGGCCCAACAGCTATTGTCCTGTGACTTTGTTCTTCAGTCCATCAACCTTCATATGGGAATAATTAAGATGAAATCACAAATTGCTGAAATTTTATTAATTCAGAATTCGAAATTATTGGAAAGCATATGTTGAAGTTGAACTATATTTTCAGGAAAGAATGGCTGGCTAAGAAAACTAAAGTAAACTAAGGTAGTGCTTAAATTTTTGTAAAAAGGAAATGTGAATCAATTATTGCCCCTTCTTAGCTTTTTTTTGCTTTGCCAAAATCTTCCTAACTTTTTCTACATAAAGCTGCTATTCACTTAAAAAACGAACAACAAAAAAACCCTTTCATCCTTTTTTTTACTTCCGTGATCTCACCAAAACCTGAATTCTTTTGAAGAAAGCATGTGTTCAGCTGGCCTGACTGGGTAGGAAGGGTAGAAGCATCATGATGAGTGATCACACCTCTCAGGGTTATGTCACACCTTTGAATGGACCAGTTTATCAATTTGTCTTTTTTTTTTTTTTTTTAATATTCTGGCGCATGCCTTCCAGTTACACTTTCTCTGAGATGCACCATTGCTGATGTCATCTAGGTGACAGGATGTGGAACATGGGTGAGGAGGACAGTATACCAGCTATGGAAAACAGATGGAGTTGCTAGTAAACCTGATAGGTTTAGAGTGCTGGGAAAGCTGGCCAGGTTTATGTAAAGCCAAGGAGTCTGCTGATTGTTCCTGTATGAGGCCATGGATCTAATAAAAATCAGCTGACTTTTGGGGATAGTCTAAAGGTCTCAATTTTAGCCTTTTCCCTAAATATGAGGCCCATTAAGTATTGTAGAATATAGAAGGGGAGAAGTAGGGAACAAACTGTAATCCATCCATGAAACCTACTGCTTGCCTAGTATTTCCAGAATAAAGTTATTTCACTTACACAGATAAAATTTTTCCTAAGTTTTTAGTAATTCTACCCATTATCATTTCATCTTCTTTACCCTGACCCCCAAAACACTTGACTTTTGCATAATATAGTTTTATTTTTCCTGCTGGAGAAGTAAGGAGGTTGCCGACAGTGCTTCTAGCTACATGTATGGTGATATCAACCAGATTTTTCAGACATGAACTTGGGTTTTTGTTTTTGTTTTGTTTCTTATACTCTGGTGTATAGTTGGGTTAGCAGTCGTGGGTAGGTGTAGGACTGATGACTGACTTGGTGATTATTTTTTCCCCTTTCATGTTGGTCATTGGGAAACAATATTGGTGCCTCCATGATTACTCAAGTGAACCTAATTCTGATCAAATTAATGTTCAAAACCATAATGCCTGGCTTCAGTTTACTCTAAAAGATAGCTACCTAGTGTATCCACTTTATTCCTTTTTACTGATCAGCTCCTCTTTTTCCAAGTAGAAAATGAGCTTGGGGAAACAGATAAGTAATAAAAAGTTCTTTGCTAAAAATTAGAAGCAGAGGAAGTAGTGTGGCTTAAGAGATAGCAGTTTTCAGCTCCAGCAAGGTATCTTCCAAGTAGGCTTTAAGGCCTGTGAAACCTGCAGGTGCAGCATTGCATAGCCACAAAAAGCATTGTCTGGAGTCAAGGATTTCTGAATCCACCTCTTACAAGCTCTATAAATGTAGGGCCACATTCTTGACTTCTCTTTGTCCCTGCAAAACAGAGATGGTGATCACTAAAGTGGCTCCATATAAATCTTACAGACCTTAGTTAGCATAGTGCCGGACTTGTATGTAGTGCTCATGTGAGCTGCTGTTGTGATTGTTTGCATCAATTTTATTGCTGCCTTTTTAAGAACCTCCTTTCTTTGCATGTGAGAGTTCCCAAATATGAGTTTACCTTATATTGATTCTATTTAAATAAATGTCTTTGTGATGGAATTTTGGGCAACATAACTATAAGTCATTTTGTAGGATGGAGTGTCTGTACTGTTACCCATTTACATCTGGTTTTGTGTGAATTATTTTCTGTGGATGAGATACTTTTGAGTACATCTGACTTTGGAACATGCCTCTTCTTTGGGGTCTATAGCTCCTTCCCAGTTGTTATATCTCTTGTGATGTCACCTTAAAAAAAAAAAACCACACTGCTGTGTGTAATGTAAAATGGTGCAGCCACTTTGGAAAACAATTGGTAAATGCTTTAAAGGTTAGATATATGCCTACTATATGATGTAAACATTCTTCTAGGATTCTACTCAAGAGAAAAAATAAAAACATATGTCCACTCAAAGACATGTATGTGAATGTTCAAAGAAACATGATTCATAATAACCAAAGCTGTAAGTAATACAAATGTCCGTCAGCTGAATAATGAATAAACAAATTGTAGTATATCCATGCAATGAAATACTACTAAGCAATGAGTAGAAAAGAACTACTGGTACAAGTAACAACATGAATGACTCAAAATATTTATTATGCTGAGTTAAAAAGGTGGACAAAATACCAGGTGTTTGGCGCAACAGTTCAGTATCCATTTCGGGACATCCACATGCCATATCAGAGCATTTGAGTGCCAGCTCTGCTTCTGATTCCAGCTTCCTGTTAATGTGAACACTGCTAGGCAGCGTGGGAAGGCTTGAGTTCTTGGGTTCCTGCCACCACCTGGAAAAGCCAGATTGAGTCCCAGCCTCTCGGCTTTGTCCTGGCCCAGCCACAGCTGTTGTAGGCATTTGGGGAGTGATACAGCAGGTGAAAGATCTCACTCTGTCTATCTGCCTCTCAAATTTAAAAAAAAAAAAATTCTAAACACAAAAAGTGCATAATAGATTCTTCCATTAATAAAAGATTCTAGAAAACATAAATTAATCTATAGTGACGGAAAGCACAACGATTTTAAGAAA